ACCTTGTCACAATTCCTTTCAGCTGGGGTTCTGCAAAAAAATAATAATAATTATTAGATATATCAAATGTGCAGCAAGTAGCAAGAGACTCAATTTGCTTGGCACCCATTAAACCCTGAGTAAATGCAGAAGTGCTTGGCAGATAAGACAGCTTTCTGTGATTCCTTTCAAGCATGGTTGTAAAATATTCATATATACATAGATGTACAGGCAAATAAAATTGAGATCAGATGAGCAGGTAAGATGCAATGCATAGTTGGTGCAGCAGAAAGTAACAGATTTATGGAACATCGCTTCACTGAAAGTTACCTACCAAATGAAAGTCTTTAGATAGCTTATGTACTCTGAATATACTGCTCCAACCAGAAGAATATTTGCTAGCAGTGTTGCAAAGAATTTGCTTATTGTTTCTTGTTCTGCCTGTGAAGCCAACTACCTTGCTTTCTGTATGGTTGATTCACTATCGTGCAGTTCCAGCGTAATGCCAATGAAAATTTATTTAAATCGATGGTGTCATAGTGGTGTAAAACCGAAGTAACTGAGTGCTGAATCAGGCTGTGTGAGCCCAACTGTGTGGGACACAGGGCGCAAAATCCTGGAAGGAACAGATGCAAGACACCTCCAAAAATGACCTCTGAAGCATTTATGTGCACCTTAAACGCCTCTGTTTTAAAAACCTGCATGTTCCTCCCTCCCAAAACAGGTGCCACATACTCTGGCAGATGAAAATCACTCTTTGCCTCTAGCAGGGTCCTTTCCCAGCCCCTGTGCACCCTTAGCCAGCCATGGACTGGCTAGGGGTTTCCCTATTGCCTCTGCAACATCTTATACCTGTGCTGGAGGGAAAGGAAACCATGAACAAAGCAGAAACAATTTGAACTCACATGACAGAGGTCTGCAGCATTACTGCCTGTCTCCCTGCCACCTAACCAATCCAACAGAAATTAAGCAGTCAGAAATAAATTCAATTTTAATCATGCAAGTCTTAGAATGTGTCACAGGCATTGCTTCTGGAAACCCAGCTAGCTGGGCACACATGAACAGACACTAGCTGGATGGCAGAGATCTGCCTTGTGTGACAGGAGTTTGTACTTTTATGTGACCACCCACCAAAAGTAAATAAGACCTAGTTATTGCTGGCTCAATAGACAGGAAAAAATCCAGTGTAGCATACCAAAATCTCATCAGCCTCCCATCTTTCATGCCTCTAGTGAGGCTGTTTAATAAGCCATAGTCGTTATATAACTCCAATCACGTTGTGTGTTAAGTGTTCCCATTAGGAGCCCCCGTCTCTAACGATTTTGCTCCATGCTCTACAGCTTCCATTTGAGGATGGCACACTCAGCCTGCACAGGAAACCGCCCCCCCTTCCACCAGCAAGTGGGGACCTGGGAGGCAGACAGGCTGCAGGTGCAAGGGATTTCAGCTTCGGCAGCCCCTCCACCAGTCAGGGGAGTGTCAGGTGCAAAAAGATACAAAAGCCACTAAATAAATCAGGATCAGCTGATTTCAGTGCTGCCTTAAAAAATTTAATAGAAACGGAAGTGTTGTAGACTGCAGGCAGACTTTATCCCAGCAAGACAACCCCGGGACAATAAATAAGTACAATTGTACTGGCCATCTACTAACAAGCCAGTTATGTCAAATTACATTGGTCAAGCCAGTTATGTCAAATGGGCACTTAGACTGAGCTAAGTGTTTTCTTTCTTCTTACCAAGTACCTATTTTGTTGAATGCAGAAGTTTGATTTTACCTGCTTTTCTAACAAGCACATCAAAGCTAGAGGAAATGAAAAGCCGTATTCTCACGCACAGATGACTGCACCACCCTCCTCAAGCCTGGGCTCTTCCTCCCTTTTATCTAATACCACAATAGTAGAAGTACTAATAGGCACTCTGATGTGGAAGACCTACACTTGCATCCTTGAATGAGTCTTGCCTCATTTTTACTTTGGTTAAATTTTTAATGTTTAAGTACTTTGCACAAAATGGAAGAGCTCCCAGCAGGAGAGACTTAGAAGATGCACCTGCAGCCTGAGGCTTTCTGTGTGGTGGGGAAGGGAGAAGATCTTGTCTTAAAATTCCTCAAGGATAAGAGGAGTGGAGATAAATTGAGATAAAAAACAACCTGACCTTTTCCTATTTCTTGGGAATACAATTTGGCTACAGGAGAGAAGGCCTTTTCCTCCTTCAGGGTGCAAAATTCAATCCTGCAAATTATTTTAGAAAGACATGAAAACCTTTCTCACTTTCACTAAATAGCCTTCAATCATAGAATGGTTTGGGTTGGAAGGGACCTTAAAGATCACCTAGTTCCAACCCCC